GTGTGGTATTTCATTTACTTATCCCAAAATGCTAATAAGCAATTGGTCTTTTAACTAATAAGTTGGTGACATCTTACTTTTTTGGCAATTTCTTAGAGAGCTGGATGATGTGATTAAGAGGGCCAACAACACTAGGTACGGACTTGCTGCTGGTGTTTTCACTCATAACCTTAACACTGCTAATACGCTGATGAGAGCATTGAGAGCTGGGACTGTGTGGATTAACTGCTTTGACACCTTTGATGCCACAATCCCTTTTGGTGGCTATAAAATGAGCGGGATTGGGAGGGAGAAGGGAGAGTACAGCCTGAAGAATTACTTGCAAGTGAAAGCGGTTGTTACCTCACTGGAAAACCCAGCATGGCTGTGAGCTCCACAAAGTGTATATGCTTTCAAGAGTTGGACTGCCCTTTGCAGTTAAAAAGGGAGATGATGATGAAAGAATTTCTTCTGTTTCCGTTGTCGTATTTGGGTTTCCTTTTTATTTTTGATGCCCCAATAATTGTGATTGATGAACAGTGTTGCAGTGTACCTTATCCTTGTATTTGTTTCTGTTTTTGTGGTCCAATAATTTCCCACCCCAGGTTGAAAGAAAGAATATTATGTAGTCTTATGGTCGTCTCTTCCCCTCCTCAACAGTAAAGAAAGAACTTGGGTTGATTGCAAAAAATATCCTTGAGGTTTACTCGATCTACAGAAGTACTTGCAAATCGTTCCAGATACCCGTTGATGCATCATATATATCACGATTTTTCAAAATTACTCCCTCAGAGAGATTTATCATACAAGTCGGAATCTCAGTTGCTGTTACTGATTTTGAGGGGCTAATTGTAGTTTCCAAAAAATCATATTTGTTCATTTCATCATGCAGTTGGATTGGTATATATCAGTGCAATATTTTTTGACTTATCTTAAACTTCTATCTTCATGACATTTGAAGATTTTCATTTCCACTACCATTAATCTGTATATTGCAAACCTCCTTCCAATTATCCTGTTTCATGTATGAATAATTGCAAAAGAATAAATGGTATGCACTAGCTTCTAGTGTGTTGCATTGCATTCTTGTGGCATAACTTTGTATCTGGGCTTATCTTGGCAATATGAGTAGAACATGTGCTTCCTCCTAGCCCAATCTAGGCCCGTTTTCTGTTGGCTCGATAACTTTGCAAATCGTTCACCATCAACAGGGTCTAAGCTCGAAAGGCTGCTCCTCGAACATGAAGAAGATGTAGTTATTTTATTTGCAATGCAACCCTCCATTTGGATTCTTGTCTCTGAGACCACGAAAGGGGCAAATTTGTAATTTACAGGGTATTTGCCTCCGTGGGTTGCCCATTCGGATCCGTCCCATATTGTGGTGTGGATCGACATTGGCTTTGATGGATAAACAAAGGAGACGCCATTATTGTGAATCACTTCTCTTACAGGTATGTTATCCACAAGAAACCTGCATGTTTTTTCCTTGTCAAATTCAAAAAGTGGTATATATAAAGTTGAACTAAGAATTTCCTTTGAGTTTATTTTTTCCACTACCCTTTCCACTATGCTGTGAGTTGTTAAATGGATAAACTTCTTAATCCCTTCCATAATTGAGGGTAGTAATCATAGTTCTTGGAATCAGACAAGCTGGTCGGTCGGTCAGACCAGGAACCGGTCGCATAACTGGTTATGGCCGCTCCTTAGAAACTTTAGCGTATGTAAATGTATTGTTTACATAACTAGAAGTACATTTTTAAATATATTTAATATGTATCCATTGTTGAGTCAATCAGTTTAGACATTTACATGTTTTAAACTATCTAGATATTTAATTAATGATGTTTTCATGTAAATTTGTTATAAGTACTATGTAGTAATTCAAAATATTAATAAATTAAACAATGGTCCAGTCACCATTCGACCAATGAATCATTGAACTTGTAGCATAACATGTTAAATGTTATCGTAACCTTAGAAGTGGTTCTAATTATGTTATTTGATTTGCTGCGATTGCGAAGCATGTACAATAGAAGTTATTTTGTTAGTTCATGAAATCTTATGAGCTTACACTATGTGATGATTGTTCCAAAGGATGCTGTAGTCATGAAAGCCTTGTGTGGGATCAAACCAGAGGTAGAATTTTTCTTCTCTACCTGTGCTTACACTTCCATTACCGTATATGTTAGTCTGAAGGACCCAATCTCGTCTCTTCTCGTGACCAAGAAGTTCAATGTCGATTTCATCATGGTTGTGAGGGTAAATATCTGCATTAGATAACTGAAATGCAGAGCAAAAGAATCAAATGAGAATCTTTCAGTGTTTCAATATTACATAGTATACTCTTTTTGAGAGGCTATTTGTCATGACTTGAGTGGAGAACTAAGATTACTGTTTTCTTTCTTTCTCTAATTAGCAGTGTTCTAGAAGTCGCTAGGCGCTCGACCAGCGTCTACTGCCTAGGCGGGGCCTAAAGGTCAAGATTAAATACTTTATTTTATATTTATTTTCAGTATTTACTAAATAAAACTATCTCAACTTATAATAAATCAACACACGTAAGTCCAAATAATAATATTAGTATATTATAAAGAACACATGATAACAAAATTATGCAATTAGTATTTAAAAAAATAAAAAATAAAAATTGAAAAATTTTCTGTCGAGCCCGTCTAGGAGCGCCGCCTAGGTCCGCCTGACCGATTTTTTCAGCTCGTTTATGCAAATTGGGTGCGGCTAGGCACTGCCTAGCGCCTAGGCGGCCGCCTAGGCCGACTTTTAGAACATAGCTAATTAGACTAAAGCTTATACCAGTTTGAATTTTTTTTGGAGGAACAAAACTCTCTTGAAATAAAGCAAGGAAGAAAAGGGGTGCTTACATAGTATGCCACCACAACTCCTGATGTAAAACCAGAAGGCAGCTTGATGGCAGCATTGAAGAAGCCATAATAGTATCTATTCTTCGACATCAGCCCAGATCCTATGACGGTACCGAACAAAATTAGAATAAACCACATGAACAAGAAGGAAATGACCTCAGATGACATGTTCTCACAATATAAGATATAAGATATTTTGCTCTTCACCTGAGGACTTGTCTAAGCTGAGATCGACACTAGTCCCATTGCCAGTCACGTGCACGTTAGCCCCTCCGTATGACACGTAATAGCTCTGGTTAACCGGTAATCGACCGAAATAGTCGGTTAATCTCTCGACCGCTGGAGGCGTGTAGACGGGCCCACGCGAGTGAATCAGGATGATCTTGGTAAGAGTTAGTAGACTTGTGAGGAGGAAACTGGGATTGTAAAGAGGAGGAGCCATGTGTGAGGAAATCATGGGATGGGAGCTTATGAAATATTATGGGAATGTTGTGCTATTTATATTTTGCAGGAATCTCAGCAGAAGGTTGTGCTTAGTTGTTGCAAGCTGGCCTGTATCATTTTTTTTCCACTTAATTTGTGACCCCATATCACTGGCTTGGTTTGTTTGTAGTTTATGTGGACCGTGCATGACATGTTGGCTGGGATAATCAAATAATTTCTCAGTATTTTGCAAAAGCTAAAAGAAAAGGTTGATTGTATTGTATTGTTAGTTTATAAGAAAAAAAAACATGAAAAAAATGGGTTTTTGTGGTATGTGCAAAGTTTCTAAAGACGATGAGTGTTTCGCTAGGCCTAGTGCCTAGGCTGTGATTAGACGTGGTCATAAAAATATTCATAAATTTATTTATATTTATAGTCATGTATATATTACAAAATAAAATAGATTTCATAGAATATACTAAGACTATCTTCAGTTTTTATCTCTACTCTAGTGCAAAAGTTTAATCTACTCTAGAGTAGGGTTAACCAAAAATAAAATTCGGCCTCCAACCGTTCGCGCTACATTCTACTCCACATATTATTCATGTTATTTTAACTTATTTAATATGTCAAAATATTATTTAATTGGATATATTATTTTATAAAATAAAATATATCATGATATTAGTTGGTCTTCCACTGGCTTGAAATATTGTTCCACACAGAATTATTGTTTTTATATAATATTTGATTTATTTTATAGTAATTTAATATAAAATATATTTTTTATTAATAATATTTTTATATAATTCTCAAATATTAAATTTAATGTTAGAAACTTTTTCAAATAATGAATTTTAAGATAAATCAATTGCATATAAAAAAATAAAAAATAAATAAAAATTGTAGAGTAATGAATAGTACCGCACCAGATATAGCGCGATGTTGTTCATAATTCTAGAGTAGTGCAGAGATGTAGCGCAGCGTTGGAGAGTAATTTTATCTCTACTCTAGCGTAATACGCGCAGCACTGGAGATGCTCTAAGATCAGCTTCAGTTTTTATCTCTACTCTAGTGCAAAAGTTTAATATACTCTAGAGTAGAGTAAACCAAAAATCAAATTCGGCCTCCAACCGTTCGCGCTACATTCTACTCCACACATATTATTCATATTATTTTAATTTATTTAATATGTCAAAATATTATTTAATTGGACATATTATTTTATAAAATAAAATATATCATTATATTAGTTGGTCTTCCACTTTTTTGAATTTTTTTTCTCAAAGAATTATTATTTTTATATAATATTTGATTTATTTTATAGTAATTCAATAAAAAAATATATTTTTAATAATAATATTTTTATATAATTCTCAAATTGAATTATAAATTTAATGGTAAAAAACTTTGTCAAATAATGAATCTTAAGATAAATCAATTGCATATAATAAAAGAACAAAAAATAAAATAAAAATTGTAGAGTAATGAATAGTACCGCGCCAGATGTAGCGCGATACTATTCATAACTCTAGAGTAGTACAGAGATGTAGCGCATCGTTGGAGAACAATTTTGTCTCTACTCTAGCATATTGCGCTAAAATAACCCAGCACTGGAGATGCTCTAAATAGCATGGTCAAATACAAAGAGTAGTAAAAAGATTATGTACGTATAATTATACATAATTGTTATTGTTATTATTGTTTAATTTTATAAATATTGTACGTTTCATCTAAAAAATAATCTGCTATTATTATTATAAAGATTAAATAAATTTAAATAAATTAAATAAAAAAATCGGGTGACGCTCTCCTATATTGCCTAATCAGATTAATTTCGTAATCGCTTGGACCATCCAATCACCTAGAAGGATTGCTTAGGCGGTCCAAGCGGTTACGAAACAGTAAGATTATTTCCATTTATCTATGAATTGTGTTTAATGGATTATTATGTTATAGTAACATAATACAATTATGATAAGATTATGCATGTTTATACATCACGTTCACCTTAAAGTACAAATTTTCTTCTCTTGTACATAATTTATGTTGCCCACTATTTATTAGTAAACTGTTTACTTAGCACATTTGAATATGAATTTGTGAACCCTTTTTTTAACTTAGGAGGTTGAGAAAGAACAAAGCGTTCTATTGTTTGTTCGAAACCATTGTTTATTCAATATTAAAACTGCACCAAAAGATACATGAATGTTTTAGTTATTTATTTATTTATTTATTTATTGTTTTTTTTTATTTTTTTTTTTCTCATAGCACCAATCAAACCTTGTATTATTCAACCAAAGACTCCAATGTCAATACTGTTCGTATGTCGAGTCATTGAAGTTAGGTTAAAAGGGCAAGAAGTTGACCCCATCAACTTGCTGTATTGGCTAATGGCTCCTTAATTCTGAATTTTGTTGTACTCGTAACAGCTGTTACTTGGTAAGATTAAGATTGGAAGCCCACAAATTTGGTG